AAAAAAAAAAGAGGTGGTATTTTCCACCGTCCTCATAAAAAAAAGTAGTTGGGGTGCGCAAAAAAATTTTAAAAAAAAGTAGTGGAGCTACGTCCCCCTGCGCACCCCCCCAATTCGAGCACTGGATATAATAAATACGATAAATCAATAACATGCATATTAATACATTAACCCTAAATAATGTATGTACCAGTATTTCCAATTCTTTTGAAGTCCAGCGTTTTTACTTTATATAACACCAGTATCGTAATACAAAATAAACCAGACGAAGTGCAAGACACAAATACTTTGGGTATAGGAGGGATAAAGAACAGAAGTAACCGAATATGAAGTGCATACGTAACACAAGACACGAGAACAAAAGTAGGTAAGTGTATGGACATATTAAAATAAAATTTGTGTAGCATAAATGATGTATTTGAGATTTTTACGTTCTAGGTATAGAAAAGGAAAACGCCTTCCTTTCAACAATATTTTTATATAGAAAATAAACGCTTTTTGTTAAAACAAACTTTTTTTGCTGCTCAAAAATTTAAAAATTATAAGTAGATAAAATTATTTAAATTTAGATTTAAGTTTTTTTATGGGTACTTGAGTAATGTAAATTAAAAAATACAATTAGTTCTATTAATTAAATAACCGTAATGTGCAATTTCACAAGATATAATAAATTTAAGAAAATACAATTTTAAATATACTTCAATATAAAAAAAATAATCAATCATTGATTTAAATATTTAATATTTTAGAATTTATATCATATTACCAAAACAGCATATAATTTCTTAACTAATGATTGCTCTGNGAATTTATATCATATTACCAAAACAGCATATAATTTCTTAACTAATGATTGCTCTGATTAAAAAACAACAGTTTATTCTCAATTATTTATTTTATTTATTATGAATTAATTACATAATAAATAATACCCTTTTTATAAAATAATAAATATTATTTATAATACATTTCAATCATGAAAAAACATGAAGAATTGCAATAACTTATAAAAAAAACCTAATAATCATGAATAAAACAAGTTTCGTGTTGACAATTGATCAAGTTAATATTAATTAAAAATATTATAATAGTAACAAAATTAATATTTCAAAATCTAGTAGTAACAAATGAAAAGATTTGGTCATATAATACTGTCTTTGAATCTTATAAGATTATACAATTTAACAATTAATAATATGGTGAGATTTGTGCAACTGTGTCATACCACAAATTTGTGACAAAAATCTATATACAAACAAATAAAAAAACTAATGGTTATTTATTTAAAATAGTTTCTTTTTGACAATTGTTTTGATAATTTTCTGTATGTATTTATATATATTTTTTTTAAATTAATCTGTTAGAAGCAAATAATATTAAAACTAGTACTGTAAATATTAGAAAAATTTTAATTACAAAATAGTCATTGAAACAAGAGATTACAATAATTATTGTAAGATAAAAATTAAAAAAATTTTCATAAGCACAATACAATTACTTATATTTTATTCTCTGGAAAATTAACATAAATAATAAATTGACAATATATATATATATATATATAT